CAACAACAGCAGCAGCAGCAGGAAGACGCTATATTTTCTTTGTATTCTAGATGTCTGGTTAGATTTGATCATTCTTTCTCTCTATTTCTCTGTCAGGCTAACGCTACTTCTGTATCAGTTTCGTTTCCAATAGCTCTTTCAGAAATACAGTGGGTGGTTGGGCAGTTGAAGCAGGGTGCCACTAGTAGTTCATACATCTTTTCTTTGTATATTACTCTCTTGTAACACTTCTAATTTTCTGCATTTAAATAATCTATCTGTGTTGCAAGAGCCACAAAACAATCACTTATAGTTTGTGTTGAAAAAACAAAGCAAAACGCCCTTTCCCTTTGGCCAATAGCTCAGTTTATCCCAGGCTGGACTGTGGTGCCTTGTGGCCTAGGTTTGAGTCCCCAGCAGTGCATTCTTGAATTTAGGTTGTTTGAGAAATGTTCAAAATTGTGTCCTAATAGTGTTGTTGTGCTTGTGCCGTTGAAAAGAATTTTTTATGAGGGGCGAGAGGGTACTCTGGTGTGGTATGCTCCTTCTTTCCTTTCCTTATCTTTCCTCCTTCTTTTATTTTGCTACCCTCAAATATCAGCCCTAATTAATCTTCGACAGTAATGTGACATATTTGTGTTGCAAGTACCGTAACACTCTAACTAATCATACAAATGAACTGCCTTCACAGTGTAATATACCGCCCACACAATGAGTCGTATTACAGTCTTAAACTCAGACCTATTTTCTTTTCACTATTGAGCGCACCATTTGACTCAATTTGAAGCTAAACAAACTGCAAGGGGGGAGAGTGCCGCGTGCTTTCGACTATAGTGAGACTAGATCTAGAGTTTTCTCCTTTGTTTGGGCCTAATGGTGCAGGCAGCCCATGGTGCTCACACCTTCTAGCAGGGACGTTTTAGCAGAGAGTAAAGAACGGTGGCCATGACAGATCGCGGTCTTGGAGTATAAAACCTAGATCTGACCTCAGTCCTGGGCGCTGGAAGAAAAGAAGGGATGTAATCATGTTTTAAAAAATATTTGACAATGATTTCCCTTCTGTTCCTCGTTTTTATGGTTAACCAACTGCGCTCGTGCTAAACCAAAGCAAGCACTTCAGCTAAGCTGAGCTTTGTTGTGTCTTTCGCAGTCTGTCTGTCGGTATGTCTCTGTGTCAGTCTTTCTCTCTGTAAATCTGTCAGTCTTTCTCTCAGTCAGTTTGTCTGTCTGTCTGTCAGTCGGTCTCTGTCAGTCCATTCCATCTCTCTGTGCGTGTCTGTGACATGGTGATTTTGCGCTGCTCACAGAAGATGCGAGTTCCATTCCGGCTTGGGCAAGTGCCATAAAACTCTTACTTAAACTTACAAAAAACCACTGTGATGCCCACGGTGATCCCAGATCTCCGTGCTACTATGTTAAGTCAGTTCCAAATTTTGTTTTCCCCAACAGTTTGTGGGGGCTCTCGTGGTCCAGAGGCTGCTACGTGTTCGCCTCCTATTCAATAGGTCACGGGTTCCAAGCCTGACAGCGACAGAAAATGTTCCCCTTTCATCTCATTTCCAGCTCTCTAACCATGTTTTGTCGTCTGCTTTCGTCTCCACTTTCTGCCCCCT